GGAGCAGAGGGGACATGAGAGACTTCAGAAGACTCAGCAGGAGCAGAGGGGACATGAGAGACTTGAGGAGACACCAGTGACCAGGGTGAACTGTCTCTGCTAAGTTAAGATGCTCAGAATAATAAAGGGAGAAACATGGGAGGGAACCAGAAGTCAGGCATTTTAGCCTTCAAAATAAAAGTGTGGGACTTTTACTCCACGGGACAGACATTACCTGAGTGACAGAGATGAACATAGAGACAGCAATGATTATATAACACGTGTGACAGTTAGTAAACCATAATACCAAGGTTAAAGTTGTTAAAGGTAGTAGTAGAATAGTAGGCTACATTAATCTTCAAGTACTGCGATGAAATACAAATTTGATAGTTTGATATTTTGATTTACTCGTCATTAATTAACGACACAACCGTATGATACAGACAGAGCAGAAGAAATCCCCCCATGACCAGGAATGAAATGTAGGATAATCATTCCCTGTAAAAATGTCAAAACTCTCCTGGTTCCAGTCTCACAAATGTGAAAAGTTTGTAAAATGTATTTTCTTTGGACTGTTGTTTGGAAAAAAGTTTTTCTGCGTACTTTAAAAAGCTAAAGACTCCTGTAACTAGATTTGTCTGAATAAATTCTACTTTATGTCTCAAAGGGTGTTTAATTGTGAAAGGGCACCAGAAGCTGCCTGTGTCTCCCAGTGTAACTTCACAGTGGTGGAGTCAGACCAGTTTCTCCTCCTCTCTGCAGGACGAGCTTCTCCTCATCACTCCTCTCTCCTCCCAGCCTCGGACGCGGAGAACATGGGATTCTAACCTGAACACTCGACATGAAGACACATCAGTAGTTTTTTATCGCTTCTCTCATCGGCGCCTGGAACAAGTTCACACCTTCGCACTGGATGCTGAGATGCGCAGAAAGTGACGCGGCTCCTCATCTCTTCTTCAGACCTCAGCCAGTTATTTAAACGCCATGAAAGGTTTGTGTCCTCTTTTTTTTTTCTCGATCCACATGTTCAAACTCAATCCGCTCTGTGCGTATTCGGCGTGCGCGCTCCACATCTGGATGACATTACGGTGCTGCGGTGCAGAGGTTGTGAAATACTTTGAGGTTTTTCTTTTTCCCACTGAAAGAAATAAAAACCGAGATGTTGTTTTGTACAATTAAAGCTGTTTTCCCGGAAACGTCCCGGTGCATGAGAGGAAAAGTAAAACACGTTAAAGTGTCAAGAGAAAGACGCGTTCAGGTGCAAAGAACTGCCTTTGATATGGCAGGTAACAGATGATGGGGCCGTGAACGTCACCTGTAGAGTACGGTGGCCCTGAAGTGCAAAACACAACAACAAACCACATAACACTGTTGTGTCTCCTTGTCTCTGGTTGTGTTTTTTTTAATTATAATTAATTGTTTCACTGTTGTTTTCTGTGATTTGTTGTTGTGTTATCTTATTTGCTGTTGTGTTTTTGTGGTTTGTTGTGTGTTGGGGAGTTTTCTGTCTGTGACCGTCTGTGATTTGTTGGCGTAGTTTTCTGTTATGTGCTTGTGTCTTCGGAATTGCTGTTGTTTCTTTCTCTTCTGTGCTTTTTTTGTTGTGTTTTCTTATTAACTGATAGTTTTTGTGATTAGCTGTTGTCTTTTGTGCTTTTCTGTTGCGTTTCGTTATTTGTCGTTGTGCTGTGCACTTCAGGGGCCACCGTAGTAGTGCATGTGTTTTGCACACTGGTGTATTTGTGTTGCACTCAGCATCTGTATCATCGATGTTTTTGTTTTACAAAGAGAAATCGAAGTGAAACAACAGCTCCTATTCACTTTACATCAGTGACTCTACTCCATCTAACCCGCTCTGACCGCCCACCAACAACACACACTCAGCTCAACCCTCCCTATCTCCCCCCTGTGTGTGTGTGTGTGTCCCACCTCTTCACCCCCCCACCCCCTCCATCCAGTCCCATCTGTTTAACATTAGCAGTGATGTTCTCTGAGCTCTGCTCCGATCTGCAGCAGAGTGTAGCGGAGTGTAATTAGGGTTTACTGTCAACAACCCAGAGAAACCGCAGCCTGTAGCTTTTACAGCTCTGTGCGCACACACACACACACACACACACACACACACACACACAGGGGTGACTAGAGATGACTCCACTATCTCACCACCTTAACCCTTGTTTCCTCATCAGAAATCATTGTATTCAAGGTGAATGTTTTGCATGTGTGTGCAGCCGCCCTGTAAAGTTTGTATCCAATGCTTTAAACATAATGCCCCCCCCACCCCGTCCAGTAGCGTGCGTTTGACCTATTTCTGTCATATGTTTCTGATTATGTCACACAGACGACTTTGCAGACGAGGAGGAAGTACAGTCTTTTGGATACAAGAGGTTCGGTGAGTGAAAAAGTTTTTCCTTTTTTTCCTAGCGGTGGAGGAGAGAGAGAGAGAAAGGCCAGCACACTTGGAGCTCAAATAATAAAACTTTTACTGCTTTGAAAATTAAAGGTGCTAAGTGTGTGGGCTCAACTCTTTTTCTCTTGTTACCTGGAGTTACCTCTGTGTTCAAGTCTAATGAAAACGTCACGTGATGTCTTCTTCACGTCAGACCTCACCTGTCCTCGTATTTTGCTCCGTCGCTATTGGCTTTGCTTCGTTTGCGTCGAGCGTAAACGAGGCCGACAGCCTGTGAGGTCCAGCTCACCACAGGCCCGTTGACCGCTGACAGAACTCAGCAGATCAAAAAGATTCACAGCCCCTCGTCCCTCTTTCATCCACTTACACTGAGCCACTAAAGCGTGCTGACTCACACAGGGACCCCCCCACAAAAAAAACCCCTGTGGAATTCCTTCAACTCCAAATTGTGCTTGACTCGCTGCGTATCTGATTGTTGTGGAGCGACACATGCAAACAAGAGTTCACATGCATTTTGCTTTGTGTACTCATGCATGGAGCTGGAGGGAACTCAGGCCATCTGGAGTATAAGAAGTTTTTTTTTTTTGTGAGTTGTCCCAGCAGACTTAGTTGTTAGTGAACCAAACGAGAGTGGAATGATAAGGATTAAAAAGCTTAAAGGGTCAGTTCGCCTAAATGACAGAAAGCAAACATACAGAATTTATCGCATCCCTCGTGTGATGTCTATTCATGGGGATGGTTTGGGCTTATTTTCCCATTCCCACGTTTTGGCTTGGTTCTCCCTTAAAGCTGCTCTCAGACATACTCCGAACTCCAGACATTTTCCTGTGAGAACACACGAGTCGGTTGCTGCAGACATTCTGTGGAGTTTTTTCTGCCGGCCTCCAGGTAAAAACTCTGGAGAAGGTCCGAGCGAACCCCTGTAAGAATGTGAAAGACGCAGAAGGGGCAAAATTGGAAAGACAACGAGGTCCAAGAGCTTTTGGTGATAAGGGCCGACGCCGGTGTCAATGTGCTGCAGACAAAAACACGTTCCTGACATTTCCTGCAGGTGTAAACACATCTGACCTGGACAATCTCCGGCTGCGTTCTTTCTATATGAGACACAGACAATAATGATAATTTGTCCCAATTCTGCTTCAGCGACTTTTGTAATCATCATCTATGGACTTTTGTTATTTCTTATATTGGACTTGTTTTATTTTGGTCATGTCGCGTCTCCTTCTGTTACGTTTCCTTCTTTGTGTATCTAAGATTCTTTAGTTAGCTTTTGTTTTCCTTTACGTCTCGTTTCCTGTTTTATTTTGACTGTCACTTCCTGTCTTGCCTGTGTCTCATTGTTAGTCACTTCACTTCCTCCTGATTCCCACTTCCTTGTGTGTCACACCTGTGTTTCCTTAACTGATAGCAGTTTGTATTTTCAGTTTCCCAGGCACAGTTTCAGCTGTTTCCTTTTTATTTTCCAAGTTTTGTTTCCTCACCTCGCCGTTTCTTTGGTGTGTTTCGGATCCGCTCATCTGATTCAACTGACAACTGGTCTACCTTCTCTGTGAGTCAAATTTAAGACTTTGTTTGATCTGTCCTCATGTCCATCTGCGTTTGACTTCTCTCCTGTTTTCCAGATGCAACATTAACTCTTGTACCTTATCTCCACTTTGCTCATTAAATTACATTTCCTATGCTCAAATATTAAACACATCAGCAACGTGTGTCTCCAGACAATGTTAACGTTAATAATAACACATGATTTATCTGAATAAGCTGCAGATTCTGTATATAATGTAACTGGTTGCATAAGTTAATGCATTGATGATGACTTTTCCTGATTTTTCTCGTGGCATCATGGTGATAATGATATGATTGTACATGATTTTTCAATATATATAAGCTTTAAGTTGTGTTTAGTCCTATAAGTTGCTAAGATACCTGGAAAAAGGCATATTTGAGCTATGCATGGTGACGCTTCTGTATCATGTCCCTCAACATATGATGGCGAATGAGTTTCTGATTAATATCAGCTTTTGATGGTCTTTCTTTAATTTGTAGAGATATCTTGTAAAAGTAGTTTTCAGAGTGTATCTTGCTGTCGAGCTTGACAGAAAAAAGTGACAGCAAAGGAAACGTTGTCTCACACAAACACATCATTATCATTGTCCTTGGAGACAGAGCTCTCGCTTTATCGCTGCTCTGTAGATTCAACGTTGATCAGGAGCCCGTGTGTCTCTTTAGTCAGGGTGTTGCTGCAGTATGACTCACTCACTCACAGTTTGGCCCATGATGTTGGATGTTAGGCGGTAGACGACGTTGTTTGACCCGACCCCAGCGGAGACGAATTCAAACTGTGTAAAAACACAATCTCTTTCATCCGAGTCGCCTAAGTCGAGGCATCCTGTTTGTCTTTCTCTGCAAGCGTGCGCGAGTCCCGCTCATGGATTAGATTAGAGAGCTGTGGGGAGGGGAGCCAGAATCCAGTTTCACTTCTAACTTTATTCAAATGAACTCTTGACATTCAGAGGAGTTGGAAGAGAGAGCTGCTGAACTCTGAGTGTTGTTGGTGCTCGCAGGGACACGGCAGCTGTTTGGAGGGGTCGGCTCCGCGGGTCTGCCTCGCCCCCCCAGAGGCTTCATTGTGCAATAGAGCTGCGTTCATGCAAACCATCACAAAACCTTCATTCTTCCACTATTAGAGCTGTAATCTCAGTCCTCAGGGGGAAACAAACAGTTATTTCCTTTCTGAATATTTTGCTTTAATCCAATGCATTTTCCACCCCGAGGACAAATCTGTGTCTAGTTTACAATGTCACCGCTGAGCTCAAAGGAGGGCGACTTAACACAGAGGAACAGAGAACACTTAATCCTGCTTGTTTTACAAAGTGAACATGGGTAAGAAATTACACAGACAGAACCACTGGTCTCAATCACATTTACATTCCACTTTGCTTTGCAGAAGTTTGTTTTCTCCCCAGAAACCCTCTAGTTGTGTTACCCAATGACCGGAATGGCACTCAGACAGCTCACACCTCTGCCAAGGCTCAACAGTGAAACCACTTATATTCACTAGATCCAGATTTTATTTGAATCTGCACCAAATTGCACACGCATATCAATATCAGTTCCCTAAACTTGTCTGACTTCAGACTGTCCCACTGAGACCAGGGGGAACTCCGTATGATGTGGTTCAGTGTCAATCTATTCTGACACGTGTAATGTCCGTTGTAAACATGCTTGTTTAAAATGGGCTGTTTGCTTGGCCTGTGTTAATGCTGGTTGCAGATTTCTTTCTGAAACTGTAAAAGACCAGTAACTGAGCTGCAGCAAGTTAAGACTCGAGAATCTGTTCTAGTTGCTGATGTCATGAACCCACTTTTTTCATGAACGTGCTGTTGTCATGATCGACAACGTCACTTATGTTGATGAACCCTAGCCTCCACTGCTGCAGACGCTGGTCGCCTGTTTATTCAAATTGTTCTCTAAAGAATTCATCAGGAGACAAAAAGGCTTTTCTAAGAACATTGTTAACAAAAATCGTATCCCTTCCGATACAAAACGTTCCCTAAGTTCCCTGAATTCTAACATTAGATACACTGATCTCTGATGTAAAATGCTTTAATTCAGTTGCAATAAAATCCAACACGTTGTTCATCAAAGTTTTTTGGCTGTAACTCCCCGTGCCTGCAACCATTCTGTGAGGAGTAAGGTTTGAATTAAAAAGTACAATGTCTACTATAATATCAAATCACACGTACGAGCAACACGTAGCGACCATGTGTTGAAATATCTTTTAAAAGCACCGTGGGGATGTTTTACATTTGCTGACGTACAAGTTACGAGTCCATTTTCTGAAGGTCGAAAAGAGCCCGAGGGGAACACACACACACACACACACACACACACACACACACACACAATTTAAACAGATTGAAATGTTTCTAATTCTGTATATTACACAGACATCATTCAGAAGGCACGCATACATCATGTATATTTACATAAATACACACACACTTTTTCCACTCGCTTGTATACAAGGGAAATGCAGGCACGAACACACACACACACACACACACACTGCAGTACGGGCACTGAGTGAATTCATATGGTAATCCCATCTCCCTCCCTGCCAAGTTGAAGCAGAGCCGGAATCGCTTCCACAGTGCTCAAGGTTTAAACATATTTATTTTTCTGTGGGGGGTTGACATAAGAAGGCCATTAGAATAAAAACAAAACCTACCTGAGCTTTGGCTGAACTCTTCCAGAGCTGGTTTAATAATCGCTCACCAGCAATCAGCAGACGCCCTTGACTTGAGTCAAACCATGAACCTATGTGTCACAAAATCCTTGTAAATATAAAGTTCAAGTCAAATCTTTTGGTAAAGAAAACAAAGCTAGAGTTGGCGAGGGTCGTCGTTTGTTCCCCGACCGAACCTCCATGGGATAGAGCGCGTACAAAGATGAATAAACAATAGAGAAATGTCCACACACTGCAGTCACATGAGTTTAAGGAAAACAAGGAAGAAATGTCACTGAAATAGAAATTTGGTAAATGTTTGACTTCGACCAGTGAGTTAATGGAGGTCCAGAGGAGATGTAACTTAACATGTGTGTGGTTTGAGAGATTTCTGATAACATTTAGAATATGATCTTTTGTATTAATGCTGCACCAGTACAGTAATATTTAGCCTGTGTGTATGTACTAGTTGTTTCTATAGAAGTCCACGAGAAAATGACTTGATTTTTCTCAGGAGTTTATGAGTTTATGGTCTCAATCTAAAGTTTCTCATCTTCTTCACATCATGATGTTCATTTAGTAAATTATGGTCCATTTAGAGTCAGATAGATGATATCATTGGGGCGTGGATACCGTGTGACTGACAGCAAGTACCGTCCAATGGCTGTAGGTCACAGGAAGTTATGAAATTTAAAATGGCCCTTGATAGGAGAAGGTTCCTCACCCCTGCTGTGAAGGAGGGAAAACATAAACT